TGCCTAGAAGCCAAATATTTTAGTTTGGAGAACTGGGGAGCTCTTAAGACAGTGGGAAAACCAAACTGGGGGGGGGAGAGGGATTCAGAGAGCTGTAGTGTTTGGAAAGAGGGGAAAGGTGCTGGTTTTCATGGAAATGATGCTGTAGCCAATGCTTGAGAGAGATTCTAATAGTCGAGGCTGGGGCAGAGTGATGCGGGCAGAGTGCTAAAGGAAGTGAAAGCAGAGAAAGTTGCTAGTTAGGGAGATCCAATTTTGTCTGACAGTTTTATAACTATCTCACTGGAATGTGGTGATGGTGGCTACCAAAACATTATAAGAGGAAGAGTAAGGAATAAAGAAAGGCAATTCAGGTTTTGCCACATTTGGCTTAAGTTTTAAGCAGATGCCAGAATAACTGGACCACCATAGGAAGTTGCCAATTTGTAAATCAAACAAGCAGCTGTGGTTGTCGATAGGGTCAAGATACTGAACAAAGAGAAGGGTGAGATTGATGGGAGGGGGGAAAGAGAGAGAGTAAGAGTAAGGACTGAGAAATCACCTGTACAAGATGGACTGGTAATAGGAGAGCTGGAAGGCTGGAGGTGGGTCTATAGCAGAGACTTCAGCCACTGGCTCAGTTATGAACTGGTGTTTGATGGCAAACGCCTGGAATAGAGCCTCTCAGACACATCAGAAATTGAGGTAATGAAGGGGGCACTTGGGAGGTAGCCAATGGGGAGGTGATGGACAAAGGAAACCAAGCTGACTGCAAACACACTTTCAGTGTATAGGAACTGGTGCAGCGACACAAGAAATGCCAGCACTGCTGCACCAGCCCCCCCTCCCCATTCTGGGACAAGATAGGGAGCAACGGAAGGAGAGAAAAAGGCAGACTTATAGATATGATTGGACAGAATTAGAAAATAAACTTCAGCAGTGAGAATTTCTTGGCAGTCTTGCAAAAAAAAAAAAAAAAAAAAGCAGTGGCTTCCCCAAACAATGAAGGAAAGATGGGAAGTCAGCTGAAACTGATGCAAATTAAACTGAAAATAAAGCATGTTGTTCCTGCAGGGATACAGCACCCATCTGCTCTTTTAGCGGTGCATGAAGTAGTTAAATCTGCTTTAAACTGTGAATGCAAGTACTGAATGCAAGACTGTACTTGAAAAGCCTTGCTAATAAAATGTATATTTGGTTTATGTATTGTGTGCATCTCCTTCCTGTGAGCAGTATGAACAAAGATAACACATGCTATAAAAAAGAAATCTCAACAAAGCCTCAAATGAACTTTGTGTTGCACAGAAAAATGCAAAAAAAAAAGATCTAAAGATAAGCTTCTGCTTAGATGTATTTGTAGGTAAGAAGATAATTTTATCAAAAAAGTAGATCTGCTTGCAGGTTGTGGTTTGAGGCAGATGAGAGAAACCTTACATATCACGTCTGAGTTACTGAACTTTTTTAACCTTCTAAAGAAAACCAACAGCACACAAGATCTCTCAGAAAACTGGTGAGCTGAATGTTGAAACTCCAGGGCACAAACCCCACATAAAAATGGAGCATGCAGCTGAAGCTCTGAACTGCAGAATGCAAAGTTAATTGCCCTTGCTTATGCTCACAGCTTTTGCTTTACCTATACAAAAAAAACCCAAACCACTCTGTCCTTATCTCAGCCTCATGAGTTTTCTGGCAAATACTGATGTAATTTCTTGGATGCTCAGGCTCCCAAGGCTTAGATCATGTAATCATGTCCTTCGCCATCTACCTCAGAAACTAAAGTAACAGAAGGCCCAAACCAGTAAGCCATCACACATTTCCTCTGGAGATAAAATAGTGACAAAATAGGTGGAAAGCTTCAGTATTATGAATAGTATTTGTTACATGAGCTTGGAATTACAATTCATGCTCCTGGTAAAGGGTAGAGGTTTAGATGTCTAAGCTTCTTTTTTAGTGCAAGCATAACTTCCTCTTGAAATAGCAAAAGGCTCAGGTTCACCGATCTAGAAATTCTGGTTAGAAACCAAACTCTCATCGATTAGGCACCTTCAAGTTGAACCCAAAACAGGAACATACACTGGATGTACCTTTTGCCAAGTGTTGATCCTAACTTTTTTCTCAGCACCACTGTAGAAATCTCCCTTGGGAGAGCACACAGCTGCCTGGGAAAGACTGCAAAGAACTCTGAAGATGATGTTGCTACAGAGCAGACATCTCAAACAAGATCTGCAAAGAAATCACCATGTGTTTGTCAGTGGGCACTTGCCCAGTCTTGTGGTGGGTGAGTCCTCAGTCCTAGGACACTAAACAAAAAATAAGTATCAAAGCTGCTAATTCAACTGTCAGGGGAACTGGATTTGAAGAACCTCAAGTCATGTAATGTGAATAGAAGAGCAGCCTCACTGCGCCACCAGGGTTGCTTGAGCCCCAGCAGACTGCAGTCTGAGCAGCAAAGGACTTTGCATTTACTTTCTTGTAGAAGGGCTCCGTACTTGGATCATTTGAGAATTTCTAAGGTGAAATGACAAGTTCCTTATTTTACAACTGTCAACACCTTTCTGAAGGATCTTGTCTATTGCTTTTCTGCTACCCAAGCTTGGTAGCAATACAAACTTTGAATTCAGTAACAACAATCAAAAAGGTCATCCTCAGCAGTCTGCAGGAGCTGCCCCACTGGACCTGGGAGTCTTCAACTGGAAAACCTGGAGATTCTCATTATGGCAGCAAACTCACCTGAGGGTGCAACAAACAGCAGTCAGTATGTCTTCCCCAGCAAGTACTAACTGCTGATGAACTGCCTTTTTAAAGGTATCTGGTGGACAAGGTTTGATGTGCCCTGATGCAAGTTACACCACCAAAACACTCTCATGGCTATTGCTGAACTCAGAGGTGTTGGTCTGGCACTTTGTGTACCACTCTGGACATCCCCAAGTGATCGAGAAGATGCCAAGACAGATCTGAGGAAACACTAGTCTTTGAACACCAAATACGTTCTGAGACCATGCAACCATGTTGACTTCAGCACACCTGCTCTCTTGATATACATAAGATGTCAACAATGCTGCCCTCCAAATCTGATACATGACAGAGTGGCTTGAAGCAGCTCAGCTTATCGCACTTGTATGTTCTGAGCTGTTGCTAGAGGATGTAGTTTTGTTACTAAATTCAACATCAACCAGATTACTTCCTTACATGAGGAAGGAGATCCTACTATCCCACCTACTGAAACAGGATGCTACTGTCCATCTTCATCTGTATGTGCTGTCTTCGTACAGCTGAGGAGGTCTGTAAGGCTTTTCTCACTGTACGTCCAGGGGAATCCCTCACATTCCAAATTCTCCAATCAGTAAGATGAGCTCTCCTAACCCAGGGAGCTCTCACTGTGGATATAGATGATGGAATTCTTTTGAAGGGCAGAGTTTTTACACAGGGACTGCAAAAAGTTAAGGCATAAGAGGAAGAAGTGGGTCAAATAATTTAAAATCCCAAATTGGATTTGCTCTTTAAGAGTTGGAAGTAGCTTTTAACAAATTGATTTAAAGCTGTAAATGAAAATATGTTCAAGCAAGAGGAAAAAAAAACCTCTTTTTCTCAAGTCCAAGATCTTCTGTAACACTTACAGCAGTATTGCTCTACACAATGAAACACAGAGAAGGCTGTCACAATCAGATTATCAGCTGAATTTAAGTATTTCTCAAAAGATTCCCGGTTCTTAAGACAGTATCTGTGGAAAACATGCTGAAGAAGGTCACTTAACTTCCTTTTCTCTCTTTCAGAGGAAAGCTCATTGGTTTCTCTTGGCCTGAATCCTTGTAACTGCATAATGGACATTATTTCAAACAGCAAGGCCATCCATATGGCTTCTCTGCCAACAGATCTAGAGAGTTCTTCTTCTCCCCCCCCCATATTTTCCAGAGAAACTTCCCCCACCCCCAACCAATTTGTTTTTGTGGTGGTGTTTCCCCCCCTCCACTTGATTCCCAGAACCTATCAAACCCTAACTTGAGTCTCATTACAAATAAAAATAACTACAGAATATGAGACATCATTATATCAGAATGTACACATCTACAGAATGTAGAAAGTTGTTTCTCATTTAATACCACAGGAAAGTACATAGAGTCTCAGGGTTCTCAGAGTCACAGAGTCTCAGAAGGTTCTCACCATGTAACTTTTGGGCTTTCTGTATACATTTTTTGTTCTTAAACAGCCAAGCACAACACACTTCTATTTGCAAAGGAAAGGAAATATGCAGAGAAAGAAACTACTTGCCTCTCTCTCCCTTCCCAGAGACCAAAATTAAAATGGTGGTTGCTGTTGCAAATGTTTTTTTGTATCTTTTCCTGAGTTTCTAAGTGTTTCTAGTCTGACTGTAGGCTGCTCCACAAACACTGAAGATTGGAAAATTAACAGGGCAAAAATCACTGAATTCTAGAATTCAAACATTTGTTTCAAATCTGTCATCACACAGAATTGGTGGCTGGCTAAAAATCATTTAATGTCACCAAGTTCAAAAATAGGAAGAAGCTTGAATGTACCAATATTAAATACTTCTTGTTTACTAGATACAAATTTAAAGTTTGGTCTAACTTATTTATGAAGTCTTCAAAAACCTCCACCTCAAGACAAAACTGACAACATACAATAATCTAATTGACAAAGCCTTTCTGAAAAGAAAAAAGCATGATGCCAATTTCCTTTCTTTTCCCCAAAAATAACATCATTAGCAATAATAAGCAAACATTAGAAACAAATGGCCTATAATGAAACCCTCAGTAACTACAGTATTTTACTGAGCATTACTCTGAAGCAAGTAACGTTAAGGTCTTGAAAATGTGCAATCTGTAAGTATCAAGCAGTGAAAGAAACTTTTTCTTTAATAAAAGCAAGACTTAAAAACAAGCCTTACAATAACGGATAACTCAAATGGTCATACAGAGCTGCATGTATTACAGACTGTAGCCAGCAAACCGAAGGAACAGAAAGCAGATGTTGCTAGAGTCACTGTAAATTCACATCACAATTTATCTTCTCCTTTTCACATTAGGATCATACCTGCAACAAAAAAGAAGATTTGTCACAAATAGGTAAAACTTATCGATACTCAAAGTTAACAATGTGACGTAAATAATTATTATAAAAAATAATTTTAAAATATTTATAACAAGAGATTCGGCAGTATTCAGTCCTTTCTCTGACTGCACTTCTATAATTAACTACAGTTGTTTCAATTTGACTGAAGGATGCATAGCTAGAAGCTGGGCATGAAATAGAGATACCCTTTCCTAAAATTTTCACTGATTTTCTAACTGCTTAAAATCTTCAACTCTGATGCATGAACAAGTTTATCCAAACCTTCAATGTCTCACCATTAAGTTCCTACTAAAAAAACCAAACCAAACCCAACCCAAACCAACAAACAAAACAGAAGGGCAGGGAAGGGAAAAGATACTGGAAGGGAAAGGATACTGTATATTCACACCAATGTACAACATTTGGCCACTACTCGTTCAGACAATACCCTCTTGCTGCTTCTGACTCCAACATAAAGCAGTTCCTTGCCTTACCTTCCCCTTTATACAGTTTCTGGTTCCTTTTTAGTAATTTAAATCTACTTTCCAGACATAGTAAGTTACTTGATTTACTGCAATATGCTTATAGGTTGCCTCTGCCTGACACTAATATCCCTTAGGCCTGCTCTTTCTCTCCATTTGTGCTTCATCTCCCAAAATCCTGTGTCACTTATTTGAAATTCTAACGTGTTTCGTATTCATGCATGAATAACTTATGGACACAACTGAATGATCAGGCAGTTTTATTTCCACTAATTCTGCTCTCATTCATCAAGACTTTTTTTGCTTAGACAGGAAAATGTGACAACTTATGAGCCAAATCACATCACTACATAACTAGAAAGGTATTAGAAGTCACCACTGTTGCTATACAGCTCAAACTTCTGGCAAAAATGAAACGTGTACCCTTTGAAAGAAATCCTCTATTATTAACTGTTAATTATCAGAGCAAGCTTTTATTGCAGCAAAGTTTTCTGAATGGCTCCTATACATGTTGATGTGCAGTATCATACTTCTTTACTAGTAATTTGGACCAAAAAATCCCTCTTCACCATACACATTTTTCTGCCTAAATGCACAATTTTTAGTGTTGGTCAAGTGCATGGCAAGTGAGACATTAAACAGAGGTTGCTTGTTTCCTCACAAAACGTCTAAGAAAATAATGAAATATTTACTAAACAAAATGAGATTCTTATATTAAATCTCAAAGCATTTCTTTAAATTTATTGCTATAGCATTGTAACATACTAGTTCTAACATTTAAGTATGTCCTGGACACCAAATCCTATTTTTTGGAGGTGAAGGAGGGGGAAAATGAGCAGACAGGAAAAGGAGATGATATGTGACAGAAACCTGCCAGCAGGACACCAACAGCTTCAGCCCTGTGACTGCCTATGGAGATGCTGACACTGCCATTCATGAACATATTTTTATGCCATCTCCTCCACCTTATCTCCAGCCATTTTCCACGTTAAATGAAGCCTGCATGATGTTTTCAAGACAGAAAGAAATCCAGTAACATTATCAGAGAAAAGAAACATACAGTGCCTGTGGCCTGCAGTGGAAAAAAGATGACAGGGATTCCACTCCTGTGAGCAAATGCACAAAGAAACAAAAGACCTTGCTGGGAACAGGGAGTGAGGGATATAAAGGGCTGTTGCTGAACATAACCCATTTATCCATAATCTGATCAGATAGCAGGAGATGCCTTCCTTTCCTCCTCTGTCTCAGTATGGACTCAGGAGCAGTCGAGGGCCCAGATTTTCTTTCCGGCTCATGTTTACCTTGGAGTACTGCATGACTCTTTCTAATGGCATCTTCAAACGCCATTTTCATGGAAAACTGCAGCTGTTAACATTAGCATTACGTCAAGCAGTTTTACTCAGGATTATGGACAAAATTAGAAGTAGGGTTACAAAACGCTGAACATTAAACTGCGTGTTTTAATATTTTTGATTGTGGAAACTTCTGAGTACAACCATCCTAAATAAATTAGAGTTGAGGTAAAAACTTTTATAAGCATGAATGCATGCAAATTATTTAAGTTTCCACTGCTGTGTTTTGAAAGGCTAAAATTAATCAAGGCATTTTGAACTAGTTAATGTTTCGGCACAGCAATCAAGCTGCACCATGTTTTTATAAATGTTTTCATAACTGACATGTTTAAAGGTTGTATTACAGGTGTAAAAACGGCATAAAGTGGCAAACATGTCTTGGAACTCTTTTAATTAGAAAGTGGTTATAGATCTTTAAATTAGAATTACAGTTGAAAGTAACTGGACAAGAAATCAACCAAAGGAAAATTCTCTTTCAAATGACAGACTAGGGAAAGCAGTACACAACTGAAGTGAGAGTTACTGCAAGAAAACTGCTGAAACAGACTGTATTTTAGAGGAAAATACGAGTTACGGCAAAAAGCAATGCAAACAGCCAAGGTGAACCTAGACCTACCAAAAAGCTCTCTCAAACTCCTGTGACATAAGCACTGATTACGACAGAATTAATGACTCTACTACACCGTCAAAAACATAGAACAATTGGTGTAAAAAATGCCTCCTCTCAGTCTGAAAACTGGAAAGGTGGTAAGGCATTGCATGAGTTCCTAACAAGCAAAATAAACAGGCAGGAGATCTTTAATTCTGAATGGGTTTGAAAGCAGCTTAAGGTCTCAAAAATGAGGGACACAGAGGGGCCATACTGAAAGATTTACTCAGGGGTGTTTATTTTAGTTTTTTGGTTTAACTTCTGGGAATCTATCTAGTAATAGAACAAAGGGGAATAGTTTTAAACTGGAAGAGAGTAGATTTAGACTAGATTATTAGAAAGAATTTCTTCACTCTGAGGGTGGTGAGACACTGGCACAGGTTGCCCAGGGAAGTTGTGGATGCCCCTTCCGTGGAAATGTTCAGGGCCAGGCTGGACAGGGCTTTGGGCAACCTGGTCTGGTGGGAGGTGTCCCTGCCCATGGCAGTGGACTGGGTGATCTTTAAGGTCCCTTCCAATCTAAACCATTCTATGATTCTATGACTCTATGAATCATAGCTTCAAAGATTATAAAAAAAAGAAAGGCAGTCCTGCTAATCACTTTTTCCACAGAACCGGTATTCTGTTGCTTTAGCTCCCTCAAGTGACTCAGCACAGGGACACACAAGTGCCATGACCAGAATGAAACAGTGGCAGACACCATCACAGATCAGATAACCAGCTTAATTGTAAGAGGAAAACACTTTGTTAGGCTCTAGCAAACATTAGTGGTGGAAAGCCTGACCCCAGAATAAATTCCAGCCTTTGGATGTAGTAGCAAGTCCGAATGAAATTAGAAGCTTAAGGCCTAAAAGTTTTGAGATAAGTTGTTGCACCTTTTTGGGTATATTCTGTATGTGGAATTTTGAACAGAACAGTCAGAGCAGTCTTTTACAGAATTGGAATTTGTCCAAAAAAAGATGTGATGCAAAAAAAATACACTTTTTCTCAGTACAAACATACAAAACTCTTACCTAAATAGATCATCAGCAAGTGATTCTTCTCTTGCAAGACGGTTCTGTTCCTGAGAAAAGGAGTTTATTCAATATTTGATGTTAAGGATGAAGCTAATGAACAATATAGAAGAGCAACATATTCTTGCACTAACAGTTTTTCCCTGAAGAAATAAGTTCTCTAACTAGTCCATTCATTGTGTGTTCACATTAGGTGCTGTATTTCACTACTCAAGTTTGGCTACTGCTACCAACTAATGGAACGGATTAGTTCGTACAATATATGAATTCTGGTCAGAAATACGTTTTTTTGGGTTTTAAGCATAATTATACAAATAGGGAAATTTTTATCCCATCACTGGTGCATAAAGAGAATTGTAATTAGCATTATCCATGCCCAGGGATTTAAAAAAAAAACAAAAATAATCAAAGAGTGTTGATGTCACAGGATCTCAGTCAGGCTGTGGAAACAGAGTATGACTCATCAGCAAGTAGTTTTAAAGACACTATTGGAAAATAAAAGTGCTAGAGAACTGCTATAATAAAATATAATAATTTTTACAACATTTACATACATAGGTGAAGATTTTTACAATAGAAAAATATTAAACTTCTTACTATATCTCTTCAGTATACTTCAACAGAATTTTACTCAGATATCTTCTGTTCAAGACTAGAATATCAATTATACTGTATTAACAATTTGAACAGTTAACCATACAGAAATTCTTTTTAGCTCCTTGTCACATTTTTAGAAGTCACAAGTTTCCATACTGCTTATTTTGCTTCTTAAAAAAAAGATCACTGTCCTCTAGGTTACTGACTTTGCTTTAAAATCGGTATTTTTTATTATCAATGTTGCACGTAAAAATGAATTCAAATAATCAGCAAAAAGATGAGCCTTATGTCTGTCTGAAAGTAACTTTTCTAATGTGTACGTTCCTACAAGCATGCGTGGACAGCTAAACGGCTGAGGTTTTGCTTCAAAAATACAATTCTGAAGTACTTCAGTAGTGACCACAGGTTGGTATGACAACTTACGTAATAAAGATGATCAAACAAAAACTTGAAAAGATAATTCCTTACCTCCATTTCTTGCCTTAACCAGTCTTCTAGCTCTGAATTCTTTCTAGCATGGTGAGCAATCAAATCAGATCCTCCAATAATGTATGGAAGTTGTCCTGACCCTGGATAAGCTACCTGGTGGACAATAAATTCTTAAAAGTTACAATACAAGGCAAACACGCTGTAAGTAAAAGGTCTGTTTTAACAAATTCAGAAAGTCTACTCTGATATCACAGAAGGTCAGTCAGTCCTCCTTTGAATAACATTTATCAGAGATCCTATTTAAAGGACATTTAAGTGAAAAAAGCATTTACAGAAAGCTAGTAAGTCCCTCCTTTTACCAAAAGAAACAAAAGTTAGCTGATAAACCACTCATATTAAATTAAATCCAACAGTATATTAAATGGAGTCTGAAAACATTATAAATTTATTTTTACTCATAGATTCTATTTTATATCAGAGTGCATAAGCATCTCTTACAAAATGGTGGAAAACTACTATCAGAAATTTAAAATGTTATCTAAAATGAGAGCACACTCCCAGAAAGCTGGAAGTTGCATTATGTACCTCACACTCTCTACATACAGTATTTTACTGAAATGCATTTCTGCATTTTTTTCCCCTATATTTTTAATATGAGCTGAAGTGGTATTTTTACACTGAACACTAAGAATCTTCTTGAAATTATCTTCCGGATCCAAGTAAGCAATAAGCTTTTATAAGATACTAGATTTAGTCATATTTAGAAATCAAAGATTCATGAGATAAAAGTGCAAGATTCTGAATCAGCGTATGCTTTATATGTAAGGTCTTTGGAGAAGTCAAATTGGTAGCTTTTGGAGGTACAGCCGAAAGTTGTGGTAGGCATCACTTAACTTACTCCAAGTAACAGCTTAGTATAGAGTGCAAGTATCTAAATAATCTAGCGCAAGGTAAGCCTTTGTCAGCCTGGTACATCTTCAGTCAATCAGCAAAATATTCATTGACAGTATATGGTATTTCAGTTGTCTCTTTCTGTAGTTATTATCCATTTAAAAAAAGAAAAAGCGTTCATATTTCTGCAACTTTAAGGCAATACTTCTTAGTGTTTTCAAACAGTGCCACCTTATGACCATTTCAAATACACACTGACCTTTTTGAACATTTTGAAATTCTTCTTTCCCCCATAGCTGCTATTTCTAGTAAGCAGACTGTTCCGTCTTGGATGGCTGACAACCAGCGATCTGAATTCAGTTAACAGCAGTCTGCTGGGAAGATTGCTGGAGTCATCCTGCAGATCACCGCGGTGCTTATGTGGGAAGAAAAAGGAAGGAGCACTTCAAGTGTATAAACAGACATACAGCGTATCTAACAGTATAAACTTCAGAGAAAGAAAGTATCGTGAGTACAGCCAAGGCAAAAAGTTCAGATTACAAAAGGGTGAGGAGAAGCAGCCACAGTGTTAGAAGCCAAAAAGATGGCTCCTTATAAGCCTCCTTATATACTACCAATGGAGCAGGGAACTCAGTAAATTTATTTCACTTATATTGAAAAGACAAGATAATTAAGAACTGCAGTAATAATAATGAAGTCAGTGTACTTCAATTGCACTAGGATTTTACTTCACAATAAAAATTCAATTAAGAATTCCCCCCCCCTCCTCAAATTGGCTATTTACTTTTTTTCCCCCCAAATCTCTCCTCTCCACCTTGTCTCTTACATGGACTGATTTAATCAAGTGTGCTTACTCTAATGAAAACTCCATTAACTGAAGACAAAATTGAACACCTTCAGCTCAGTTCTAGCCTACAGATTTACCATTCAGGCCAAATTTAGGGCTGTAAGCTAGATCTGATCAATGAAGCAACTTTTCCTTGTACATGGGAATGCTCATATGCCAGCAAGTTTGCATGCACACTTTGCTGCTTGAGGCTAGATCTATGTGGCTTAAAAAGCAAGTCTGGGTGCAGGACAAGTTCACAAGTAACGTTAAATAACCTTCAAGGACAGCTCCAGCCCAGATGCAGTACAGTTGTTTTATAGCAAGGTATGAACTAGAAGTCCCTTCATCTGAGCTGACCCTGCACTTCGTTATAATGACACAGCATCCCCTCTTCTTGGACCGTTTTCTGTACATGTGCAAAAAAGTTTATCCTGCCCCTTGCTGACTGGATACACACTCTTATCTCTTCATACTCTTTACCTTTCAGTTTCATTGAGCCTTGTCTCCTTTTCCTCTGCCTCACTGCACTCCCAGCAATTCTCCCCTTCTTCCTCCATTCATCTCACCTATAACAAAGTTAGCACACTGTTTACTCTTAATCAGCGTATGTTACATCTATTTGCTCATTGGCCCATCTCTTCCATTCTAGTTGTAATCTCCTTAGAGCAGACAGGGAGATTACATTCTTGTCTGGTCTTTAAGCAGCAACCTAACAAAAACAGCAGCACAAGTATTAACCTCATTGAAGGGTCAATACAATTACATTAGGTTCCTATAGTGTCAGTCATCTTATGTATCCACCCAAATGCCAATACAAAAGCACACAGGTGAACTACAGATTGCTCTGTCTTTCCACAGTCAATAAACTGGACTGTACTATTCAAATTTACATGTGATTATTTTAAGGAGTACAATCTACAGAACCTCCTTTACCCTGAAATAGGATCTACAAACACTATGTTCTTAAAAGCAAAATTTTGAGAAACATTACAAAATACATCAAAGTTTGCTGCTGAAACTTAGAATTATCTTGTTTCTTACCAAGACTGGTGGCTCTTGCTTGATCTCCATTTTCATTTTTGAAGTTAGAACTGATCCAAGTTCATCTTCTTTCTATTTGATTAAAAATTATTTAAAATGTAACACTGCAATTTTTCTCTACAAGTATAAGACTTTTCTTTTAAAAAATGCCTGTAACACAAAAACTTATAGCATTATAAGGAAGTCCAAAATTCACATTTTGCCAGGAGCAAGCTCCAGTAAAGTATCAAAAGAGCACTAAGCTGGTCTGAGCTAAGGATGCACAGACAATTACTAATTCTCACCTCATCCAAGCTGTCTCGCAAATTCCAATTACTCAGTTATACATTAAAACTTTATTATTACAGTATTTCAAAACTGTCTACACTGTATATGAACTGTCTGGGCAGTAAGCTCTTATATATTTAAAGAAACAAAAATTAAACCTGTTCCTTCTCTCTTATTCCCCTCTGCATTGTTAGTGGTTTACTTTACTAGAGCTTTCAACATTGTTTGTAGAGGAAAACCTGCTTTTGGGTTATTTTTCTCCATGAAGCAGCTACTGTTAACTCAAAAAAATCTATTGTTTCCTTCATTTCTCTTAGAAAATTCCCTTATTCCCAAAACCAAAAATCAAATAAATAATAAAATTAATCACAAGCCATGTTCTTGTTTTTTGTTTGCTTGCTTTCTGTTTTGGCTGGGTTTTATTGGTTTTGTTTTGGGCTTTTTTTGTTTGCTCTGTTGGTTTTTTAAGAGGATTAAAGTGATTTGAATTGCCTCATTCAGGAATTTTAATAATCCTTCACATGACATCCAGAGATTCTATTTGGAAGATGTTGGGTTTCTTAAAATTCATTACATAAAGATAATATAATTATTATTGTAATATAAATATCAACATTAAAATTAACACAGCATCATACAACATGAGAAGTTTTTCTTGGACCAAAGAAGCAAAAAGAAAGGAAAACCTTCAGAATACAAGCAGCTTTCAATTCACAAAGAAACAGTATCCTGAAAAATTTGAAAACATTCAGACAGGTGTAACACTGCAATGTTCTCATGTAATAGAGAGATCACGTCAAGTTTTTGTTCAGAGGGATGTGAGACGTTTAAGCAAACCAAGTTTACAAAGCCACTTTCTGCACGTAGGCAGCCTCACCCTTAAAGGAGCAACCTGCATCCTTCTAACAGTTGTAAATTTCAAGATGAGGCACACGAGAAGAATGTAACTTACCAATATTTTATTCTCCTCTTTCTGCTTTGCATTTACTTCTTGAATTCTGCTGCCTTTGTCTTCCAAACATCTCTTTTTCTGTGCATTTCCTTGAGCTACCCGGTCATGATCTGCCATTTGATCTTCCCAGTCTACGTCTCTGCTTCCAAACACAATTTCTAGTGCCTCTGTATCTTCAGATAAATCGTCCAACTCCTTCCTCTTCTTTGGTGCATGCTTTTCACTAGAAGTAGTTTTGCTGTCTGTTTTATCACTTGCTAGTTTGCCGCTTTCCCTCGTAAGCTTTATACCTGTGTCTTCTAATGCAAAATTTGGGGTTGGGTCCAGAATGTTCCTTTCCTTTTGATGCTGTTCTGCTTTGCTGTTCCCCACTGACGAAGCTGTGGGTTCAGAGCACTTGGAAACAGGCGATGACCTTTTCTCCAGTTTTGCTAGTTTGGGTACAGATGTTTCTTCTCCTTCAAAAATCCCTTAGTCAGAAAGTAATTACAAAAGAAAGAAATTACAAAAGCATTTTTAATATGACTAGCTGCATCCACAACATGACAGCTTCCCAGGTTTTCAGTGACTGCATTGTGAAATTTGAACATAAGTACCCTTGAGGAAAAGTTTGCCATTAAGAGTAAGCTGATCTAAAAATCTTTAAGTATGTTTTGAATTAAATTAACATCCCTCGAGTTAAAATTATTTTCCAGAAACAGCACCAACATAACAATAAGGCAAGTAATGTCAAGAACATTTCATCATACCTTTTTCTAGCTACGGGGAAGTAATTTGTAATTGAGTTAGACTGGTGACGTGAAGCACACTCACTAGGTTTACCAGCTTCTGAAATTTTAGATGGCGAGACAGGATGGCTTTTTTGACTAAATCCAGATGTTCTGTTCACTCTAGGTATCAATGTTCCAGCATTTACACTGCCACTTGTGCTAGGGTGTTTCTTTACAGCAGTTATATCCTGGAAAGCCATTTTCCCTTGTCTATCCACTTGGGGAGTATTCTCTATCTCCATACTACATTAAAGAGAAAAAAATATTAAGTGAACGCACAAGAAGTTATCACAGAGTTACACTGTAGAAAACCACTTTTTAAAAAAAGCTGCGCTTGTACTTTGAACGTACTTATAAACAATATAAATGTGCTTAAACCAAACTGTAAAATCCACTATGATAAATATATTTTTCTAATTGTGAAATGGCTTGAAAATTTGTAATACTTAAGACAGTCAAATCAGGTACGTAGTATCTACATTTGTATATGAGAGTCTCATCTAAGTCCTATGGGATGCTTTCTGTTATCTACCACTCAAAACCAGAAATTATCTCACTGCAGACAAGTGAAAGCAATTTAGTGTGTGCCATTTCTAACACCATACATTTTTGTCCACAGTAATGATACAGTTCCTCTGTCACTAAAGATTGCTTTATTTGCAAGTATTAGCTTAGAAACTATTTCAATGAATACTTTACCATGTCTGCTCTCCTATTTCTGTATCAGCTACATATACCATGCTGTTATCTGCAGCAGTTGGCATTATGGTTTCATTCACAGCCAAACTCTGAGAAATGGCTCGCCCTACAACAGCTGATGCAGGAGTACTTTTAGTTACAGCTGCAAGATCAACACAAGAGAAGAATTAAAAGGTTAACATCAAATCTGTGTTTCTTTGCGCATGTTATATAACATGTGCATCACTAACTGATCAGGTGAGACTTTTGTAAAATAGTCTTAAAGGAGTTTTAATAAGAGAATTAAGCAGATTTATTAATTCAAAAAAACCTGAAAGAAACTGTTTTAAAGGACTACATTCTGAGATTCAGTTTTACTTAAACATTTCTACTGAATGGTACAGAACTCTGCTTAAATAAAAATGAAACACAATGGGAAATCATATATTAATATGGACATAATGTAATTAATAAATCATGCAATATATATTTTATTTAAAACTGTCAGAACACAAAATTCCTTACATTTACTGCTTTATGATGATTAATATATTTAGAATCATTTCTACTAATACAGAACCAATATTTGCTAACAAAAAAAAAAATAAATGCCTTCTACAACCAATTCCTCATAATCATAGGATGGTTTCGGTTGGAAAAGACCTTTATGATCATCGAGTCCAACCATCAATCCAGGCCTAAGTTAGTCCTCATAGTCCCCATAAGTCAGGGGACTGCCTTAAAACATAATTTGCTGCTTTTTTAGTTACTAGTATTATTTCTCCATAAACCAGAAAAAAAAGAGCATATATAACATCCTTTATATTATCTATCATTTCACTTGTGTTTGTCTTCATATACTAATGTCTTCTCCAAAGTCTGAGGATACTAATATTTATCATTTTTACATGTATCATTGTGTTTCTATATACACTTTTTTTATTACTACTCATCTCTCAGTCATTTCCATTCTTCCTGTATTTCATTCTGATTGAGACTGCGATAACAGTATTATCCTTTCAGATAACCTTCATCCTTCATACGTTCATTCATTTTTCCCCATCGTTATAACCTATAGAGCAATAGCCTACAGACACATCTGGGTCTCCTCAAGCAACTACATCCCATGTATGTTGCTATTTGTTGTTTAGAGAGAAGATCAGAGGAAGTAGTCATCTTGTTTACAATCCCTTTGATTTGCACCACATAGTTTTTTTAATAACTTCCAAACGGCAGCATTTGTTCCCTCTTAGCAAATGAAGTGTAAAAATAGCTACCTTCAAAAGCCTGATATACAGATCATTTACACAATTCAGCCAGACAACTTGATTTTTATCCAGCACTTCTGATTTATTCAGATGTCTGCAGGGTCAGTATCTTTACATTTAATCTGAGAATTAATTTATTTTGTATTTTTTTCTAAACTAACTGGATAGAAAACAGATCACATACAAGTTACTCATATGAGAATATCAGTGAACCAAAATATTTTTCAGAGCTCTGCCAGTACTGCATGTATATAGTTTTCTCTTCAGAATACATTTTTAATAACTAATAATCCTCTACGAAAGGACAAATTTATGAAGGTTCTGTTTGATTTTTAAAAATTGTAGGAATTGCTCCCCAATACAGCACTTTGTAGAAGAAACTAGAACTAAAATTATACACACAACTCTGACAGATTTATAGAAACAAAAATACAGATTAACAATTTTAGAAGAGGCTTGAAAAGATAATCAGACCAACCAAAACTCTGTCTCTCAAAGATTTTTATTACTACTGTATTAGCAAATACAAGTTAAGTTTCAAGTCAAGACTTGGAATATCCACCCTCAAACTATTAATTTACAAATATGGCAATCATTTCTTGTTGTTTTTATTTCCCACATCAAGATTACATTTGGCTTTGAACTGGGTGGAAGGTGGTTGTATTTTGCTAAAGCAATGTCCTTTACAAATTTGTAAAGGAAGTCTTTACAAATTAATTCCGTTCTTATTCTCTCAATTTCCAACATTCACCTTTTACCTCTCTGTTACCTCAGTCTTTTCAGAAAAGACAGAACAGCATGAAATTCAAAGAATCACAGGCATATTAATTCAGTGGCCGCTAAAAAGGTAAACTTCAAAAGACTGTTTCAAAGTACCTTTCCTTTAAAGATCAATGTACTATGTGTCTGCTTTATACACTGATTTTAGATCTGCTACTTTTATTTAGATCTAAGAATCATACGATTTTCACTGCAGTTTACTGCAAGACCATTAAAACCCAATTACTTCTTCAGACTTGTATACATTTTTCATACAGTGTCATTCTATTTTAGTGGTCTTGCAAAACAAAACAAAAGAACTTGAACACTAGCAGTTGACACCTCCGTACAAAAAGAAATACAGCTTCTTTAATGCTGTTAACTTATTGCCTCCCTTCTTCCAATTACCTTTATTACCAGGCTGCTTTTGAGGGTTGCAGTATTTTTCCGTAGACATGAAGATAACTGCCAATCCAATTTCTGCCTCTGGAATAGCCCTGAGATCCTTGCTGTTAACATACAAATAAAGGAAAAAAAAGTTTCTCTGTACAAAGATGAACAGGCAAAAGGGCACAGATTTGACAAAGTACAAAATGTTCCATTCTTCCTCTCAAAAAACATCAGTCTACACTATAATTTTTCACAATACAGGAAGTCAGCATAATTATCCACCATTACACCCATGTCACATAAGTGTGAACTTCTATGTTTCCCGTTGCTGTAGCCACTGTATTGTCCCAGTAATTCAGCCAATGCATCTCTCCCTACCTGATTTCTGGGCTAAATCAGTTGGGTTAAATCCAACTGTGTTCTACCTCCCATTCAAAAACGTGTGTGAACGGAAAAGTGTCTTGAAAGATCTGAGAACTTCTTGCAGGTCAGTGTGGTGCGCACACACCTCTTCTGTACTACAGCCGTGAGAAGCACTTGGGTACATTTTGCTCTGCTTAGCAGGAAAATTCAGGAAAACTACGTTTATATACTAGGTTAAGGACTGGGGTTTTGTTTTCTTTGTTTTAATAAAATGGCATCATGAAATTTCTAACATTTAATGAAATAAGCAGTCTGCTCTCAGACAAAACCTATCACCAAATCAAAAACTGATTTTCATTAAACAGAAGCTGCTCTTCAGAAATACTGTATGCAAATAAATAGACAGCAGTGAACCACATGATCTCAAGGTGTCATCTCATCTGTTTTTCATAAAATATGTATATTTATTTAAAAATCATATATTACCTATTTTCCACTCTTAGAATATATTAATTTTTTACTTATTTTATGTAGAAGGAAAAACCACTTGCTGTCTTTAATTTGAAAGCAGCTTCATTACAATAATTTTTTGTAGAAATGAATTCTCCAAAAAGAAAAGCAAACAAACAAAAAACCAACCACCACCAACAAAACACTAAAGTCTCATCAAATCCTCACAGGACTACCTAGACTTTTCTTTCCCACTTTAAGAAATTGCTAAATATTTCAAGCAATGAAGAAAATGCCCTCTTCAGAAGCATCCTACGCTTACCTGTATGCAAACACCATGACTAAATCTCTGCATAAATTTTGAAATTACACTACCACTGTACAAGAGAATAATGCTGCACCTTTGCAAGACATTCAGAATGGAATCAGTCCAGTTTCTGGAGCCAGATCCTGAGATCTGAGAGTTTGTCAACCCCACATCAACAACACAAACTTCAGGAGATTCTAGTAAAGAGGTTTCTTTTCTTCCTTCTGTCATTAGCCTTGTTTCCCCTCCTCCAAGAATAACTGCTGGACCCAGTTTCTTGTGCTAAAAAGAGAATGCAAATTAAAAAAAATTGAAATACAATCAATTCAGAAGTATCGGCATAAGGATTATCACCGATGCAGATGTGTTCCGTTTCTCTCCCTGCACTTCCTCTTGCTTAGGCCACTGTACTGTAAGAAGATAAATACACAAAAATCCTTCTTTCCTGATGAACCCAGAATGAGTGAGAATTCACAGAGAACAGAATCTGTACATAGCTACCCCTGTAACTTTTTTGCAATGCAAAGTCTGATTACCTGCTTGGCAGTTAGAAATACAAAAGTTTTTCCACTGAATATTTTTTTCCTTTCAGGATGCTCAGATAAATCCAGTTTTTCAGCGCCAATGGAAGGCTCATCAACTGGAGGATAAAAGCTGCAAGAAAAGAAAATTAAAGTTACAGAATTCAGAGTTACCTATCAGTACTGACTCATAGTCCTTTTCTGTTTTAGAGTAAAGCTCTGAAGTTAAAATACTACATTGCTCTGTTAAAACTATTAATATAAAAACTATCTTATATAGAAAATAAAAAAATATT